GACTTGTTTTTTTCTTTTCAGTTTTTATTTGAAGTATAATTAAGCAGTCGGGTTTTTTGATTTTTTAAATTTACCTTTTTCCTAAATTTTTGGTATTGTTAGGTATGTGATAATAAATTTAAGTTAGCATGGAGTGTGGAGAATTTCATACTAATTTCAAGTTTGAAAATGGGAGTTTCAGTGTATTCAGGTAGCGATCATAACGTCTTACTAATTTAACTGGGGAGTATTATTCACTACGTTTTTTCACAAACTTGCAGGCTTCAGAGATGTGAATTTAAGTTTTTTAAAATATGGTTTACAGGACTCTGCGTGTTTTATGTTTGCAAGTATTCTTATATTTTTTTCTGGAGGACATAAACGTCGTGAATATCTGTGCAGTCACCCCACAATATAATGCCATAGGTCAGCCTGGAATGGACAAATGCATGATATGCAGAAAGAGTGGTATTTAGGTCAGTATTGCGTTTCAACTGTCTCAGTGCATATAAAGTCTGTGCTGAAAGAAAATAGGATTTAGATTGGAGGGCGCTGTAGTGCTTTTCTACCGTATTTGTAAGGTTTATCCCTTTCAGACATGATTAAATACAAAAAACCGCAAGAAATCACAACAACAAACAAATCCGTATCAATACAAAACTTTGACATTTTACAGATTACAGACGGGTTAGATTGCCAAATAAAAATCTTAATGTTAGTTCCGTTTTTCGCCACGCCCATTCTTTTTCCGCACAGACTCTACCAGAGAGGACAATCGGGTTATTAGCATTTGAGTAAGTATTTTCCAGTTTAAATGCAAGTCTAGCTCTATTCCTAGCATGGTTGTAGAGTTTACAGTTTCTCATTTGTTGGATTTGTATTGGTAGTTGATGTTTAATTAGGTCTTTTAATGAGGTCTATATTCTATCAATTTAGCTTTCTCAACGTTAAGCTGTAGGTTGTTACACTCCAGCCATTTTGTAAGCGAATCTAATGCCTCCAAATATATTACAAGAATATTATAAACATTTAAACTACACCCGTAGTATTATTGTTAACATTACTTTTAAAATTTCTAATATAAAACTGGTACCATGCCATGCGATTGGTTTTAGATATATATAAATAAACGCAAGCAGCAAAATTCGGAAAGAAGGTAGTATTTTCCATCATAATGGTAACCAAACCTGGCTGCCTGTTCCATGAGAAAACAATAGAGGGTAGTGATACTATGCCACTCATCAGAAATAACAACGTAAGAACTTGAATCTTGGACCACCGGGACGACGCGCTGCGTCTCACATTGGGCGTTTTCAACAACGTACATACGAATCTTAAATAAAACAGAGAGTTGACCAACATGAGAATAAAAGAAGACATTAATATTAATATCATCAAATAAACCGTGTAGATCATATCGTTAAATATTGATATTATCATTATTGTTGTAGTCGTAACTATCGGCATGCCCCACCCTATCAGGGCGCACTTTAAATATCGATGCGTGATAGTGGTCTTGTAGACTTTTATTATATCTGTATAAAATAATATACACACTATGATCATCCAAACATTATAAATGAATAAAGATGTCCCATAAATCGTTATTATGTGCTCGAAAGTAATAATAGACATTGGAAAATCCAAAATACTAAGGCAAATACATATTCGTGAAAAATTGACGAACAGTGTTGCTAAAACCATGTTAAGGAACACGTAATTATTAAATGTCCGCCATTTTGTAATTAAAGTCCACGATATAGCGCCACCTATTATGGCTGCACTGGACATCCCCACTACGATGCAGTTAGAATATGTCTGGTACAGCAAGAAATCTAGTCTATCTTGTCTATCTTCATCCATGGTCGAGTTATCGTCTGTTACGTTGGCTTCAAAATAATCATACGATACAGTTGTTGTTGTTGCGTTATCCGTTGACATTATGGTACTAAGTCTTCTGCCTTTCCTACGAAGTTCTGATCTAATATTTCATTGAATATTCCTTAAAATACGTTGTTGATACGTCTTGATTCACAAACTCCTCTTCCCTTGCCATATTAGTAAATCGTGGTTTCATCACAACAGTTATAATTTTACTTTGCGTTCCTTTATCCAAAATGGATTAGTTTTCTTATGTATTGTTTTTCGCAAACATTTAAATAATAAATGCGACCCAACCGGTATGATAGGAATACTAAAACTGATTTCATTAACGTTTAATTAACACAATGTTATCGAATCGAACTAATGAGCGTTATTATATTAACTCTGCAGTGCATTAGATACCTTTGATTATATCCCTATATTTTATTTTTAACATTACGAAATGGTTCTTTCGTTGCATTTTTATTATATAAATATTATATTAATATCTTTTTTAATTTTTTCAAACATGTAACTGTCGATGTTTAAATCTAAAGAAAATATAACTAGAAAAAATCCACGCGGACCAGGCAGCAGTCGGGACTCGAACCCGCACCCTTCGCTATCCGGTCAAATTCACTGACGATATATGAGACACACAATTCATGGAGAAAATTTGGCAGGTACCTTAATTAATGTGTGTGGCTGTCCACTGTCCTGATCTAGATGTCCTTTCCTTGCTGTTTGATATGTGTTTATGTGTAAGTTACGAAATATTTTTGTTGGTGGTTTTCTGTTTTGTTTGTCTATCTTATTTATTTGTTAACGGGCCATGCAATTATGTAGACAGCGTATAGAAGAAAGTAAATCAAATTAAGTAGAAATAGCAATTATAGTTATGATTTTATTTATTTTTTAAGCATTTAACTGCTAGATGTTTAAATCTAAAGAAAGTTTTACTAGAAAAAAATGTGGGTTACCTACAATGCGAAGAGATGGCGCTGCCTTGCAGCTTAAGGCTAGGAAAATTTCGACGCGGCTAATAGGGCCGTGGTAGCATAATGGTCAGTGCATTCGCCCGGATAGCGAAGGATGCGGGTTCGAGTCCCGTCCGCTGCCTGGTCCGCGTGGATTTTTTTCTAGTAAACCTTTCTTTAGATTCAAATTAAGTAGTTACTTTATTACAGGAAACAACACCACCAAAAGGCAGTTAAATCTCAGGACAGGCACCGAGAGTTTGTTTAAAAAGAAAGAAAGGGTGTGAACTGTCTTACAGTTCACACCCACACACAAACATAACAGATATATTGAACACTTTAGACTAAACATACAAAATGTAAAAATCGTTATATATTTGTAACCAATATGGTATTGAGTTTGGTAAAGTTATGGAAGAGCGAGAGTTCCTGACACAGGCAAATGAACTTGTCTACTAGGGATTCTCAAATATTGTATCACTAACAATATTGGTTATAGAAATAAAGTATTTTTGATTTGATTTTTGAGTTCAGTATACACACTGATTTAATTCTATTACAAAGACATTAAGGCTACAGTTCTTATCTCTACTTAAAATATCTTTTGAATTCCTATATTCTTGTGCACATTATCGTAAATGGAATGCTCTGCCCGCTTACGTGCTCCCTCCCTCTTACAACCTGGGATCCTTAAAAAGAGGCGTGAAGAAGCAACATGCAGGCCGGCAGGGTGAGGATGGCTGGTGTGGCAGGTAGAACTGCTGTATCAGCTATCTTCGCGTCTGGACTTCACCTTCACTTAACATCAGGTGGGGTGGAGTCATTTGTCGGACCTAATTATAAAAAAAAAATGGTACGTGATGAATGAACATATTGCATTAGCTGCTGCGAGCTAATGCTTCCACGTCCATCTCGAAAAACAATAAGATCATAATTGAATGTCGCTATCGTGGAGTTGCGTTTCAACCATCGCATCGCATAGCCATGTCACTGGCCCATCGTTGCGGGAACGGTCTTTGTCCATACATTTCTAATCTGCTTTTTTTATTATCCATTATATGAGACACACACAACTTATTGAGAAGATTTGGCAGGTTGTACTAACTTGATGTGTGACCTGTGCTGAAGTGGACGTCCATTCCTTATATGATAATGTAGGGTCTCTGAAGGCTCAGGAACTTATTTCCATAAGCTCATGATAATTATAGCCCCAGCATATTGAAAACTTCGATTAAGCAGACACTTGAGAGACTCGTAAACGCTCTGAAGCTTCTTAGCGCTTAGGGAAAAACGGTATTTGTGGCCATTAGAGAAGCGCGGCAGGCTATTTGTACTGTTCTCAGCGGCTATTCAGCGGCTGATTACTGCAAACACTGTGCGGCGGTCGGTAGGTAAACATACACGAATATTAGAGTTCTGTATTCTAAAAACTTGTCTTGTGTCACACATGAATATAAATTTTCTTGTAAATTAAAATATTGGATAGATATTTACGTGCAAACATCAGAAAATAGAAACTGTGGCATTATTCGTGCCTCATCATCAGCCTATTAATGTCCCCACTGTTGGGGCACAGGCCTTCCCAATGGATGGAATAGGGAGATTGGGCCATGACCCACCACGCGGGCCCAGTGTGGATTGGTGGGTGGCATTATTCGTATGGAGTAATAACTATTAATTACCACAGAATTTGGATTTACTTCAATTTTAAGGTTTAACTCTATTTGGTTTTTGTGTACTCTATTTTTATTAATATAATATTTAACAGTTAACTACTACCCTCTTTATTTATTTATTTAATCACTGATACATAATTTTATCATATTTTAATACTTTGCCAACCTGTAAACATCAGCTTGTTGGCAAGCCAACGCTTGTTTTCCTTACAGTATCATGTTAAAATAATACTTCTGTTATAAACTTAAAAATAATATAACTATAAGCTACTGTTAACATATTATACCTAAGCTATTTTAAAGGGACTATCTGTTACAAATACACAATTTACGCATTAATCAAAAGAGTTTTATTATGCTTCCAAATTGAAAAAAAGGAGATTTTGACTTAAATATTTAGTTGCAAAATATCAAGCGGTTCTCTTGACCGCGTCGGCTGCGTTTTTCTATGTTCAACGTTATTAAAAAACAATTAATTTTCTTAATATTCATTCTTTTGTTACAGATATTGAAACGCAGAAACATCGGGAGTTCAGCGTACAAAAATGACCATTCGGAGTTTATGGTGAGTTTAAATCTGTCATTATTGTCTAGTTTTACCAATAACCTTGGAACTAACCAATATCGTATTTGAATAGTTGAATTCAATCTCATACGATATGTAGCAAATGGCAAGAAATCGAATTCAACTAGGTATTCGACATTGGTTCGTGCTAATACCTGGTCCACACGTGGCGATTTTAGTCCAAAAATCAAAAAGAAAAAAACAAAAATATATTTATTCACCAATACAAAATTTTAACTTAGCTTACAATTAAACAGTGATTTTTGCACTGAGCTGAGCTCGTAACGCAAAGACCTAATATTTCAGTTTTTCTAAATGGTTCGCATTACAATATGTTGACAAAACTCGGAAGGTGAACATTGTGAGTGAGGAAGTTACGGTAATACGTAAATGTTCGAGTAACATTATAAGACAAAAAATATGACAATAGTAAAATTATTAAAGTAACTTTCAACAATTTTTACTGAATATTTTTACAAGTTACGCATATATTTAATAAAAAAATCCTGGAATTATAATTACTCTTATGTGTGTATAGTTGCTAAATCGCATGCGATTTGAACCGTCTTTCAATCAAATTTAAGCAATCCAATCTATCTTTATATATAAAACTCAAAGGTGACTGACTGACATAGTGATCTATCAACGTACAGCCCAAACCACTGGACGGATCGGGCTGAAATTTGACATCTACCTGATTTATAGGCATCCGCTAAGAAAGGATTTTGATTCTATCCCCTAGGGGATAAAATAGGGAATGAAAGTTTGCATGCAGGTAGATGTTATGACGTAGACATCCGCTAAGAAAGGATTTTGATCAATTCGACCCCCAAGGGGATAAAATAGGGAATGAAAGTTTGTCAATTTTAAACCGATCGGACTGAGACTTTGCATGCAGGTATAAGAAGAATGATAGATGAATATCATTGTGTATAATACGAGCCTGAGAACAAAACTGTAGTCTACACTTCAGCTCTACACCGAAGCGAAGCGAGGGCGGGCCGCTAGTTTAAATATAAAAGTAGTGGCCCGCCCTCGCTTCGCTTCTGTGTAGAGCTGTACTTTAGACTATATTTTTTGTTTTCAGGCGTGTATTATACGCAATGACTTTCTTCATATAATTATAAACCTAGCGTGAAATTTTATTTAACTGATAGAGACATTTTGTTGCGTAGTTTAGGACCTGTACTATAGAATGCACCATTGCTCTGCTGCTAAAAACCACTGTGTCCCCCCCTTAACATTGATCCATGCCCTTATTATTAAGTGTATTAAGTGACGCTGTGGTTTTTACACACACATCACTTTTATCACTCATAATTATTGCACTAATCGTCGCGTCGGATGTTTCTACTGTGATTCTGATCATAGAAATTAGTACATTTTGATTTGATTCAACGCGCGCGTGGCATGGCGTCGCGTCGGGTAGCGTCGCGTTTCATAAGTCTGATTAAATCATATTGGTTTCATGAAAAATGGTAAAAAAAATCTGTCCAGTATTTTCGGAGCCTATTCAATACTATCAAACAAATCTTTTCTCTTTATAATATGAATATAGAAAAAAAAAAAATTGTTTAATACTGAAAAAAATCGTGTCATGCCACGCGCAGTGTACGGTTGTGGTTTTCAAATAGATTTTTTTAGCAATTGTTTTTTTTAATGCAATGCACGTTTAAAGTGATCTTCTAAGGATTTTGTAATATGTAAGATTTTTTCAATACAAAAGTTGAAGCTCTTAAAATAACTAATTCATCTTAAACGTTATAATTTTCCTTTTTTTATTATCAAATTGTTCATAAATATTAAGTACAGCACTTATTTCCATTCTGCCAAACTGTGCAACAGTTTGTCGGCAGTAGCTCTTCACGTCCACGACGTCGCATAATTATTTTTGTACTTATCATACTATATTTATAAATACCTAAAATATGAAACGGAAAATATTTAAATGATCCCTAAAATAACAATAAATGATCACCCAACGAACACAGTTGCTAACCTAAACTAAGTTCAGCTTTCAGAAATGAAACGAAAAGTTATTTATTCAGTCTAGGCTGTTACAAGCACTTGTGAAGGTCAAGAAAGCTACGCCATCGATTCGCTAAACTACGGCGGGAGACCTTGTACTGAGAAGAACTGGCAAGAAACTCAGCAAGGACTGCTTTTTTTCTCACTTCTTTATTTATTCAGAGGGGAGGGGACGCCCTATTCGAAAAAAAATAGCAATTTAAAGTTTAATATTTCGCAAACGGGTCTCGGAATAAGTTATTAAAGGACCTTTTTAACGATACTTCACACGATGGAGTAGACGATGAAAAATAGATTTCATCCCCACTTTACTTGTAGAGGAGCTACCCTAAGAAAATATTTTTCAAAATGTTATTCTAAAATTTTGTCGGTGTGATTAATATTCATACCTCCACTCTCTCTAGTGCTAACAGTCTCCAAGCTAAACGGGGGACGGACAGACAGACGGACATGACGAAACTATGAGGGTTCCTTGTCAGGACTACGCAACCTTGAAAAAACGTGCTGTATTTTTTGGTCAACTTTCGTACAGAAAAATATTCATTATACCATTTATTTTTCTTAAAAATTAGGATTAAATATGAAACATAATCTTTATCGTAACAGAGCTGTATTTTTTTCGATTCTTCCAAGTATGAATTGAAATTTAAGCATATTTATTGTGAATGGAAAGAAACATGATTATTGTCCCCATAAAAGTAATAAATATCTTTCCCCTTGTTGGTAACGCCGCACATACGGTATTCACACCAGAAATATTCCGAAGAACATGAATGAACACTTAGCCAAGTAGTTACATAAATCTCGCATAATACCTACTTGGAACGGAGTGCACGTTATCGTATTGCCAACTGCTGAAACATTGCCATATTAAAAAATGCCAATAGGGATGATGACTAATTTTTTTCTTCGTTTATCAGGTAGATCATCAAAAAGTATACAACACGTATTTTTTCTTTTTTCACATAATATAAACATTGCAGAGATATATTGATTTGAAAAGTCGCATGACGTCACGTTTTTGTACAATTATCACTTAAAAGTGACGTCACGAGCCCATACTCCTAAACTTTGACGCGCTATAACTTTGTCATTTTTTGGTTGATTGCCCAAAGAAAAAATACGTGTCCATTATTTTTTGATCATCTAACTGACGGGCTAAATAGAATTTCGTTTACTGTACCCCGTCATCACCCCTATTATGATGCATCGCGGCCATTGTTTTGTTGTTATTTATAGTAGTAACCACCACTATACTAATGCCCGAAATTCGAACTTTCAAAACCTGCACTGCTATTTTCAAAGAACAAACTCACTTTTCACCGCGGATTTTGCGGTGTGATTTGAAATTTATTTGAAACTGCCTGTGACCCGCGGTGTTACCCGCGGTTTATGAGGGATATTTTCCCGCACTAAAACTTAGTCTATGTGTTAATCCAAGGTGTCAGCTAACTCCATACCAAATTTTATTAAAATCGCTGAAGCCGTTTAGACGTGATGAAGTAACAAACATACACACCCAAAAACTTTCGCCTTTATAATATTATAATGTTCAAATTTTAAATTACACCGCGGATCCTGAGGTGAAAAATTAGTTCGTTCTTACAGAATAGCACTGTTGTTAGGTTAGTGTAGTCGAACTGTCCTTGTATGTGTCTCCGCGTGTTTGTCGTTTGCTCCAAACAGCAAACACATGCCAAACACCGACCACAATAACCCGACACAAAAGCGCGTCCCCCAGGCTTGGCGATTATATTCCTGTTTGGCACGTAGTAACTATTAAGTAATCTGCAGTTTGGCTAACAAAACATCCTTTGATTTGTACAAAATACCGACTCTGACGAACACACACAACACTGACAGGCAAACAGCCGTCTACACTAGAATGTTTGTTGTTTGTGTCCGTTATTTGCCGTCTGTTTGCCAAGCGTGTATGTCTTGATGTTATTTTCTGTCTTAATCGTCACCTACTCTCCTATATTTCTTATGGTGTATTATTTATAAACTAGGAGTAAGGGTTGGTGGTAGAAGATTTATTTATATTCTTACGATTACTCCGGACAGTTCTTCTTATCAGCTTAAAATTGTCCTGAATTAGTGGTAGGAAAAATAATAGACAATTCAAAAGAGGTCTCAATATTTTTTTTATTAATGTATAATTTCATTACCATTCGGTTTGCTTCGCCACTATTGGTATTATTTGAGTTGAGTTAAAAAAAATACCTAACATGTTCTCAATATCCCTTGTCTATTGATAAGTAATCCCGAAAAAGTAAGTAGCAAGCAATATAAGTTTACCCTTTTCCCAGTCTAGCATGGATACGACAGGAAATGAATAGAAAATCTTGTTTGTGGCGAATATTTTCAAACGCTGCGTAATAAATGAGAAACAATTTATATTTTTTCGCCACACATCCGGGGGTGAGGATGTAAAGGCACCCTTTGTATTGAATTGAATCACGACTACCACTTCCATAGAACGAGGTCGACTTATAAAAATGGCCTCATTTTTCAATTCTTCCTACAATTTAAATTGTGCACACCAAAAAGGTGCAAGTGCTAAAAAAACACCTACAACTTTTTTCAGCCTGTACTTGTATAACTTTGTTTTTTAGAGTTAAAGCTGTTGGTCGTTTTGTCGCTTGTGCCTTTCTTTCACAGCGTCACAGGGCTTGGGAAAGCAAGAGTGGCCTCTTTTCTCGACAATCAGTCCAGTCCAGTCTCTTATTCTTCCTATTCTCGACTACGCTGACATCACTCAAAACCTTATCCAATTGGATCGTTTGCTCAAAAGCGGTATTCGCTTTGTTTTCGGGTTACGTAAATACGACCACATCTCTACCCTTTAAAAAAACAACTTAAATGGTTGCCTATCAATGGTCGAAGAAACCTTAGATTGCATTTTCATGCTCTTCAAGATTTTATACGATCCATGTGCTCCAGTGTACCTGAAATCTAGATTCCAATTTCTG